GAAAGAAAGAAAGAAAGAAAGAAAGAAAGAAAGAAAGAAAGAAAGAAAAGGGGCAGGGCAGACCTGGGAGGGTTTCCAGCCCTGTTAATTCTGTAGTTACATATTCTGTTGTATGACTGATTTTCCAAACTGTGTTCTGGGACTGAAATCTGAATCTAAGCAAGCAGTGCCCTACAGTATTTCTTGGGAAACCAATAAATAATTTTCCACACTTTCAACTGGCAGTGGTGTCTATAAAGAGGTGGAGAAGACCAGCCTTTTTGCTAGGGGTGGGGGAGGAATGTGTTTAGCTTTATGTTTGAATGCAAATTGATCTGATATATTTTTAAAATAAAACACAAATCAAACCTTAGATACCCTAAATCTGCAAATCTCTGAATACTGCATTGTGGCTCACCAACAATTAAAAGAGACATATATTAGGGAAAAGTCAACCCACAAATGTATATATTCATGAATTATGTACAAAAAGACATTATATTACTAATTATCTACTATACTAGAAAATCCTTTTGTGTATATAAGTAAAATTGAAAGCAAAAAAAGTTTGGAGCAATATGCATCACAATGCACACAAATTTTAGTACAAACTAAAAACTAGAAAGAATTTCCAGAATGACAGATTTAACTTGACATATGTGCCCCCCCCCCCAAAAAAAAGGTGAAATGGAAAAACACTGAATTTGATATTTTTGGAAAAATGTGAAACCTGAAGGCAGTGGAATCAAGCTATTTGCCCCACCTTGCCTATTTCCCCATTGTGTTTTACTTGGTTTGTTAGTTACAGATGCACCAACAAAAACTTGTGTATGCTTGCTATCTGCCTGGGGCAAACTGTAGTTGAGATTTCATTGGTTGGTTTACAGGACAAGCAACAAGAGGGATGTGATCTAGAAAGGAGATGGTTCTCAGATTAACTGTCCTCTTGGTGTCTGCCAGGACTATGTTTCAGTAATTAGTGGTTCCCTGTCTTTCTGAATTGCACTCCTGCTCTTTCCTTTCTTCCCCACCCAACTTCAGCTGGACCCATCCCTTGCCTTGTAGAGATGCTGTCTGTGTCGGTGGCTGTTGATCGTGGAGGCTTTGGCTATCAACTGAGATGCCGCTGTCACTATGAAGTTTCTCTCCTTCTGGGGAAGGCGTCTGGTTGACAGGACGGTTGTTGGCACCTTGTTTGTTCTGTTTGCAGCTGTTCCACCTAGAGGTGAAAGTGTTTGACAGTTGAACCAAGGATACCTGTTCTTTCTTCTGACCCATGGTACACCACAAAATTGGCAGGGTCACTGAGAATCAATTCCTTCCTACAGATCATGAGGTTTGGGGTGTGGTGAATGCTATCTTTTCAAGGCTTGCCCAGGCAGAACTCTCACTCCATGGACTAGTTTGCCAATCCAGATAAGGGTGTTTTCATCTGTACTGGCTCCTGAAAGTCCCTGTGATTGCCAACACTTATTGTGAATTCGCAGGGTTGCCTCTCTTTCTTCATCCAGAGGGGAAAGCATCTGTTTCTGCCTAGGACAGTGCAGACATGAGACCTTCCAGACATTACTGAACTCCAAATCTTATCTACTCTAACAAACATGACAAGTGGTGAGGAAACATGGGATTTGTAGTCCATCCATACTAAGAAGATTTCTAACTAAGACCTGGGCACTACCATGCTGAACTAGGAGAGCAAGAAGCCACCTTTTATATGAGCTTGGAGTTGGGTCAGTGAGCCCTCAAATGGATAAAGACATTCCACTGTATGTACAAATCTGAGATCTGGTAGTGATATTACCTAACACTGGTGGTTCAAGATATTTGAGCTGGGGAGGGGGGGGGTGGACTTGGATCCTCAATTGGTCTATTTCTCATTTGCGCTCACGCTCTCTCTCTCTCTCTCTCGGGCCAATCCATAGCACTGCTGATTAGAAGGCAAAGCAACCACGTGATCCTTATTATTTTTGTCTCTCGTTCTTGGAAAAGGAAGGCCATTAGGCATCAGTGGGAAGAAGAAGCGGCAGGAGCATGGGATCTTTGGGTTATATCTTAGGAAATGCCTTCCAGTGCAACCCATGACATCTGCAGCCCAAAACAACTGGCTTCCCAGTAACAGAATATTTCATATTTAGTGATTAAACTTGAGGTATAAGATAATGGACATTAACTTATCATAGAAGCCAGCATTCTTGCAAAAAATGAGTAATGCTGGGTTGTCTATCACTCACAGGAAAAGTCAACAAACCAGCTTGGCCTGCTTCTATGCTTTTATCAGCTACCTGAGCTACAGAAATCAGCCAGAGATAATCATTCATAGCACGGATATAATCATTATCATCTTCCCATTCTTTTATGATCAGATACTTGGAGCAACCACTTAAAAGCTGGCAATCTTAGAGGCAAGATGCTCCTGGCTTGGCATTGAGAAGGATCTAATTTCTGGTTACACAGCAACTTAAGAGAAATTTCAATTCTGAACAGTTGTTTCTAGAGGATGTGCACTGCCGCCCAAGGATGGTGGCATGTGGCCAGCTCTGAAATCATTTGGAGCGCATTTATTTGCCTTTTTAAAGATGCCTATCACTTAAGGGGAGGATGCAAAATACATGTAGAACGCCATGGGGGGGGGGGGGGGGTGAGAAGGGATTGGTGGCATTCTTCCCTGTTGACTGCAAGAGATGCACAATCATCTCCCTAATTATTTCCAGAGTTTCTGAAAGCCTTGGATGTGGCCCCTGAGCTCCACCAAAAGTTGCTGATCATTAGAAATTATTAAAAATATGAAGAATCATCATCATCTGAAATTAAATCAAATTAATT